CATTATAGTTGTTGCTTGAAGAGATGGAAGTAACCGAATTTTCGTGTACTGAAAACCAAAGGCGTTCGTATGTTAGATCTGATATTTGAAGTAATATACGATCCATATACAACAAACATTCTGTACACACACTTCTGCAACTTAATGAACAGCTGAAGACGCGTCTTGGTTAGGTTTACATTTACTCAATTTGCCCTATATATTCGTAGAAGTATGTAGTCATAATCCTCATTGACTGGAAACCCTTATGGATATCTAAAGGTTACTTGAAGAATTGTTCAAGCATAGCAGTAATTTCTACAGCATCCTTTCATTTTATACTTTCTGGTGAAAATGTCACAGGCATTTTTATCTACTACAGCTTTCTTTACTTAAAGCGGGATACTGCAATGCATTGTTTAAAATCACTAGAGCTTCTTCTACGCTGAAAAATTAAAAGCTAAATTAACAAAATAAAGTAAAATCAATATATATACTATATAAATATATATATTTTTATCTGCGTATTTCTTAGCACAACCACTTACAGAATGGAGTGCAAAAATCAATCAACCTATTCGACTCACCTTTACAAGAATATGATAAAAATCAATTGATTTTAGAATGTTGGAAAAATGTTTTTATAAGACTGCTGCATTGTAAATGCTTGAAATAAAAGTATTTTCTCTAATAATTTAGAAATTAATCACTATGAAATTTCATCCACGCGACTGTACACCGTTTAGTAAAAATGTTAAAAATGAAAACAGCTCTAATTTGTGCTTGCTAGGAAGTTATGCATATTTTAGTCTCTTTCAACTAACTAAGAAATGTTTATGCGTTGGGATATGGGCTACAATTGATTATATGAGATTATGATATTAACGGTGGTCTGAGGTGTTAGTTAACGGATTCAACTTCCCAGGATGTTAGGAATCTATACATACAGGATCTTGATGACATGACTCAGAATGGTTCACAATGAAACTGATTTATTCAGATGTCCACTAGCCTCCGCTACATTACCTTGTATCTATTAATAATATTGCCTAGGGTTCCGAGTAGAACATATAGGCTTCAATAACGCATCTCAATTTTATCGCGTTCTCTGCAATCCTCCTTAACAGACTCCATGATTGAATATGAGCTCTTATCTGCTCACACGATTGCGACCATTTCACCTTCAGCCGCCCAACTCGCCATTTCCCATTCGCGTTCCACTAGAGCAGGCGGGCTATGTCACTCAACTGTCTCAGCGTGTGATCGATTCATCTCCATTTCCTCCAGCATATTTGCAGCAATGGGTTCTTGACTGCATCGTTCACAGGGTTCCCTGTTGCTTTTTCTTTCTGGCCTGCCATGAGATCTTCAGTATGGAGCCAGATAACAAAGCTGTTGATAAAAGTTTGTAGTAGCCTGTTGCAAAATGCTTCACGTGGCGCGCCTACAAATTCATTCAACCATACAGAAGAAATGACTTGACATTGGTGTTGGAAATTCGAATTTTGTTCTTCATGCTAACAAATGCAGTTGATTTCCACACTGATTTCAGAGTGATGTAAGTCTGTCTTGCTTTTCTGATTCTGGTTTTGAAATTCTCATCCATGCCGACTGTAGTTGAAACGATGCTTCCTGGATAAGTGAAAGAGGTGACTTCCTTCAAATTTCTTCCGTTCATAGTAATAAGTACTTATTGTTGATGGTAACTGAGTATCTTCATCACCTTTGTTTTCTCTGTGTCCACCTGAAGTCCTGTCTTTATTGCCCACCTTTTCTGCCAACCTGCTGGTTTTCGCTTGTGAATCCTCGAATTTTTTGACATGAGCCACAAATCGTTCACGAAGTCCAGATCTTCTATAACCTTCTTGTCGACCCAACATATGACCATCTTCTGTTACCCCAGGATATCTTGAGTGATCCAGTTCACCACATTCAGGAATATTATTGGTGACAGTAGTCAGTCTTGTTTCACTCCTGTTTTCACTTCAAACGCTTCTCTAAGCTTTCCGTTATGGGCCACTTAACATATAGCATCATCATATAGCTGTTGAATGAGGTTGATAAAGGTTTGTGGCACTCCATAGTGGTGAAGAAGTTTCCAGATTACTTAGCGGTCAATGGTGTTGAAGGCCTTTGCAAAGTCGATGAAGTTGAGGTAGAGATTTGATTGTCAATATATGCTTTGTTAGATAATGACGGACAGCTTTGCAATTCGATCCGCACATGACTTGCTTTCCTTGAATTCATCTTGTCCCTGGAGGAGTTCTCCATCCGGTGCATCTGTTGGTCGCTCCAGGATGACGCGACGTCATATCTTGTTTGGCGTAAATAAGAACATGATTATACGTCAAGTTCTTCAAAGGCTTAATTCACCCTTCTTTTGCAGATACCTCTTCTTCCTACCGAACTTTCTGTAATAGTAGCGTGATGATATCCGCTGAGGTCTATGGATCAGCTCTCAGTGCACATGGAGGATTTCCATCTGGACATACTGCCATCCCGGACAGCTCGCTGTAATCTTATGGCATCCAAAACGTTTGCTTTTGTTGGAGAATTGATGTTTACCGGTTGTTGGTGGTATATCTGGATGTGTTTTGAGTGTTCGTTAGTTCAAGAGTGGTTTATATACTTCTTCCTATTTTTAGCTTTTGTGTACTGTCTCGAAGTTTAACAACCTTATTTAATGTGCTTCTGTACCAAGTTTCGCATTGAATTCTCTTTTAATCAGGTTACCTAATTAAGAGTAGGTTGAGAGGGGTTAGTACTCAGACGTACTCCAGGGGGAAAGAATAATTATTATGAGAGGAATTCAGTTCATATGGTTTAAATAAGTACCCCAGTCAAAAGAGAGATAATACTATCAAAATAAAATAATATCAGCTGTTAAATGAGTAAGAGATTGGTTATGCTTTTTTCTCTGTATAAAATATCAATAGAAACGTTTTCTGTCAATCACTTTTGCAAATTAGAGTATCTCTTTAACTTTTTATTTAACATCATATGGATTGACGAATATTGTAGCTGCAGTCTCTTTTGTTCAGCAATTCGATACTTAGGATTTTCTATTTTACAATGCTTTTTTTGTTACTGCCGCAATATTACCAATTTATAACTTTTATTCTCTATATGACCATTAATTTTATGCATTTTGCATATAAAGTTAACCTGTGAAATACTGCGAATCTCACCTTTGTTCAGACACTAATCTTTCCACTGTCATATTGTGTAAATGATAACGAAGAGTTTCTAAATGTATGATCTGTAGTTAAGCTTACAACTCCATTTAACATACGCACATATTCATGCACTTTTTGATTTATTTCCTAAAGGAATAAATGGATAGAAGTATATTCTCCTGAATATTATTTACACCAGCTTTCATGAATCAGAATGAAATGTACAAATTCACACTAATTGAAATCTACTTGCCTTGTATCCTTTTGATGAAGGTATAATGTGGTAGCACATTAAGTGCACTCTAACTGAGTGACAGAGTACTCTGAATCAAACCATATACCAGTAATTTTATGCATTTCCAATGAGTAAATACTCCGTAGAAGAATGTTGTATATTATCAGTGACTACAATAAAGCTGTATGTAGCATGATTAAAGACTATATCAAATAATACCAATAATGACTAAGAATGCTGTGGTTATGAGGTTTTTTTTGACATAGAACTTTGCACATATGTGCGGCAGTTCAAGTCGCCACACTTCATGTAGCACACAAAGCAAGAGAAGAAAGTAGGAGAAATGCATAATATAGACAGTAAACAGAGGTGTGAGACAAAGGAATGGTATTAACGAAGAACAATATAGTTTCATTGGAAATCATAAGTCACAAGGAGTGGATGCATCTGCGCCATTGAGAACGATTTTGAGCCATATCACCAATTGTTTCCAACCATTGTTTTACTTCGAGATAATGTTTAAAAAGTATATTACCTACTTGTAAGATTATGAAAACCTGAAGACATATTCTCTTTACTGCGTATAAAAACTGGTTGATTCGAAGAAAGCAGTCAGTTAACGAATTTTGCAACTGAACACAGAATAACGTGCTAGACTACAGCTTAAATAGGACTGTATGGATAAAAGTTTTTCATGTAAAGTATTCTCAAGTAGAAAGGAGTTAACATCATTTTACACTGTGCATAGCCGACAGTATTTCAGTCATTGACAATAAGGCATTTATAAATTAAAGCAGTTCTGTCACACTAACAGCGCTTGTAAACCTGATGGTTAATACTCCTCCGAAATACCACAGAGTTTTGGGAGGAAAAGAAAACAGACAACCAAATTGGATAGAACTTCTTCGTTGGCATAAGAAAATTACCCAATATGCATTACAAGATGAACAGAGAAATCCACTAGTATACTAGAAAGTATAAAATGCTTGGTGACAAAAACGAAAATAAGAGAAGAACATAGCCATAGTGAAGTAAATGCGTGAACACAGATAATGTATAATATATGAACAGATGATTTAGATATGCATAGATGTGGTTTCAGGGATTTGAACGGAGTAAAATTGTAAATTAATCTGAACGAACCTCAACATAGGACTACATATTTAAAGATGATTAAGTTTCCAAGAATGCACTTTTGGACATCACATTCGATCTTTTTGTAAAAGCAAGCTTGGAAATATTTCCAAAGCTAAACACTCTGTAGAAATAAGTAAACTGGAAGGTATACGTTTGACGCTTTGGCTAAAGAATAAGATCCTTAAACAAAATGCGTGAAGCAGTTTTCTAAGAGAATTTATAAAGATAGTTTTTGGGATTTCTATTGCAATATCACACACAGGTAAGGCGTTTTGTTTCGCTACTCCTGACTATAAACACTTCCTGTAATTTATTTTGTGATACAGTATAGAAGAAAAAAAGATATTACCTATTGGTATTATAAAATTAGTTCTTTTTCAAATCAATAGCCTAATGAAGGAATTTTGAAGCTGTTTATTTCAAGGATTACAAAGAGTTCAAATCAGCCAACACTAGAAGTGGAACACACTCACCTGTGTACATAATACGCCTCACTCAAGTAAACCATAGCTTCACAAGCATCAATAATCATTTCAATAAGAGTTTTAATAGTCAGTTCACCAGTATATTGTTCATGGGATTGCTTGTAAAATGCAGCAGTCTGTATTACTGTCAAATTGTATGCATTTGATAATTCTCCATTGACCGTACTTGTACCTAAAACAGAATCTATAGTGTCAAAATCCAATTCGCTACAGAACTTACCAAGCAACACTCCGTTTGCGTATTTGCGCAAAAATGAATTTAAATCTCCATAAGGCATATATTCAATAAGAAACGAAAGTGGATCCAGAGGAATACAAACGCCTAAAATGAACAATTTTTAAAGTAACGCATATTAACGGTTGAAGATGTTTTACAGTTGCTAGGATAAAAAAGTAACGATGAGTTATAAAGTAATGGTGAAGGTGGTTAGTGATAGGATTGAACTTCCTAGGTAGGCTAGCGAATTCAGATATACTCACTCCACTCAGAATAGCTCCTTGAGATATTCAAGCTCGATTACTGTGATAGCGTAGTACCTGTAAGTTGGTAACATAAAGCTTGAATTCACTCTAAGTAACTTGAAACTTTTGTTTGAATAGGGTTCTAGAGTGACTGCAGCTATCCAGTATATATTCTATCTATTATGAATTTTTATTTATTTTTGTATCTCTCCATTTCTATTCCTTTTATTTTCTGTGCTAGTCAGGATTTCAGAAACTAGAACTGACGTGCAAAGTTCTACAAGGACTCTAAGTTTGTAACGACAGAAGACAAGAGTCAAGCAACAGATAATCCATATGCTAACTGTATCCGCCTATGCAAAGCCTTTGTTCTCATTTTCTCACCACCAATATTGGGGACATAAACATTGACGTCAATTACTGTCTACCAACTTTGGCTAGCAGTCAGCTCTCACCACACTCGTCCCCCCGTCAAAGACTTGCGACTGAAGTTGGTTCGGTCTTCTTGGGGCTTTGCTCTTTTGTCTTGCTGTCTGGAATCTCGGCGCTTGCGGATGTTCACCTGTTTCTCTGTGTTTACCATTGCGATTGTGTATGCGTAACCCCATCTCAACGTGACCATATGTGGTCCTTCTCACTTTGGAAACTGTTTGCCTGACCCTGTCGCACATTCGTAGGTATTTCGTCTCACACTTTCATATGCTGCTTTCTCCCGACCTCCCAGCAGCGTCCCAAGTAGCAGTCTCATCGCTGAAAGATTTTGAACGCCACTCAACTGCGAAGAAGCCTCGAAGTCCTGCCCGAAGATCCATAAGTCTCCACCAAAAACTGCGGGGCATAGGCTGTCCATTTGTCGGTAGTCAGAGACACCAAATGTAACAACAGAAGACAAGGGCCAGGCAACAGATCATCCATATGCTAACTGTATCCGCCTACGCAAAGCCTTTGTTCTCATTTTCTCACCACCAATATTGGGGACATAAACATTGACGTCAATTACTGTCTACCAACTTTGGCTAGCAGCCAGATCTCACCACAAGTTTAGTTTGTCATCCAGTACATACAGCCGGCTAATACAAATAATTTTCAAGTATTGGTTTTGTAGGGATTTTGTTTGGTTGGATGGAGAATTTCATCGTTTTTCAGTGGTTCTCTAACTCATGTCAGCCTACGATGAAATCCTCCATCCGACTAATACAAATAACTTTAAACCATCCATATCTATAACAAACTTCATTTACTAGATTGAACTGATCTAAATAATAATCGAAAGGTGTTTCAATCATTTGAGCTGTACTCAGATTGCTTCAATTCAGAAACCACATGAATTGCTACCAGCTACTTAAGAGAACTGGAAAGATGTAGAGTTCAGTCGAGTATATGCAAACTAATGTATACTGTATAATTTTTATGACTAAATATTGACGCTGAAATCACAATACACCAACCAGACTGCATATTGTGTAATTAGTACATTTTGCCTTCAAAAAAACCATCTCACAATGTGTAATCAAAGCAAATACAACTTAATTCATTGGTTTGTATATTTATCACTCTAATAAACACTATATACCAAAATATTAACATCCTTCGAATATGTTCAATCTAGAATTTAATGCATTGTCTTGATGCAACGGTTTTCCAGTCTATAAGGTAAGATTATACATAACCTGAGATGTCAATCAAATTTCAAGTTAACCAAAAAAATACATTTGGCTATATCATCAAAATGGAATATATAATTAGTTATTAAAGTATAAACGAGATATTTAACAGTACCAAGTAGTTGGATAATATTTCTATGCTGCAATTCCACAAGTATTTCCGCTTCACGAAGAAAATTAGCCTCTGCATCTAAGTTGATACCACGTTGAATCATTTTAATCACGGCAATCTTATCTGATGCGTCTGAAATTCCCTGATCTGAAACAATGACACGTGTAACATTTTAGAAGAGTCAGTATAATGAAATTAACAACTTTAATAATAATAATAATAATCATAGTAATAATAATAATCTGCTTTATTCCAAAACAGTACTTGTGTTACAGAATGGAATTCTCAGCATTTTTACTACAGTATTGCATCCAGTTAGTACATTATCAATAAATAGAATTCTACATAGATTAAGGAAATCTCAGTTCATTATTACAACACATTGGCATGTCGGTAGCAAAGGTAAAGCTGAACAGTGTTTGAAGGTGTTAGAAAAGTAGGAGCTGTCATATTTACTGGCGTAAGCGAGAGAAGGAAACAAAGCAGCACATAACGGAAAAAAGAGAGAGAGAGAGAAAAGGAAAAGAAAGAAAATGTTGTACCTATAAATGATATGAGTTGGAAAGACGAGATCCAGTTGTACTACTGACTATTTAATGAATTATAGGTGTCACGCCTAATGCTTTCTTTATCACACAGAACACGAGCTAAGTAGGGTATGGTTGAGTTTTTGTATGGGCTTCTGGTTTTACCTGATGAGATGCAAGGGGAGAGTTGTGAGTGTAGAGGATGGTGTGAGTTAGATAAAATGGATTTGGCCCATTTTCATTGTTCAAAAACAAATATCATTCATCATTTAAGATGAAGCACTTCCACACCTTATATATTTCGTATAGTATATGAAATGGCGGTTAATTATGACAATATATCAATATACTCTGACGTAGTGATACGCATTTAGGTTCAAAATATTTTATTTGTAAGAAAATTCCCTGTTCATAAACTTCATAATACTGAAAGATATTCTACTTAGCATGGTGTAATTCCTTGAAAATAAAGAAAACCAACTCTTTTGGATATGACGATGAAGATGATGATCGAAGGAAGTAATGTATTATTTTTCACTGAGATGAATGTGATCTATTAACTCTTTTCATAAGGAAAGCAGTGAAAAAGGAAATCATTTCGTTTACTTCAGGACACAAAGATAAGTTGCGCATTTCTCTTATATCTGTCTTTAACACAACTAGTGTACTGCATTGTGTAACTGTATACCCTATCCTAATTTATTTATAAACATGATTATTGAAAGTAGGAGACTTTACCATGACAACGCCACTCAAGAGTAGCAACATTGACAACCTAGTAAAACTATGGTAACTCAGTTAAGTACAACTTCGTACACTACTTGCTAAGGAAGTTCGAAGGTTAGAAAATATGCTGGCACCTAAAACAAGATCCAAGATTCATCCAAAAAAGCTTACACCTCCTGCTTAGAGTTCATAAGAAAAGTATAAAAACAGAATTGTTGTGAATGCATTTACACCCCTTATTTATACTCAGATATCAAAACTTTGTCTTTTCAGTTATAATATATCCATGTTACCTCGTCGGCAGGCAACAAGCCAAAATTGATATTAACCAGTTGTTTAGGAGAACACTTTAGGCAACAGTTTGATCATGGAGAGTTTTAAATGCAAATAAAGCCTTTTAACAAATGAAATATACAAGATTTCAAAATGGTCACCACCATCATAACGATCATATCTCCTACATTCACTGATAAGATATTTTTCGCAACTATTGATAAATCTTTCGTTTAGCTATTTGCATAGATTTCAATTTTAATTTAATTTTTTAATTTTAATTATAGCTTGATTCCACACAGTATTTTGGTACAACTATGGAATTTTCAGCATGTGATATCGGTAGCCCAAATTTAGCAGGCTGACCATTGATATTAGGCGTGCGTCAGCGGGCGATCGAGCCCCGGAGCATGTGCATGGTCGACGAGCGTCCCAACCGTTGTGATAATACGATTTCTTTTGGTGGGGAGGGGAAAGCAATACATTTAACTGATCTATGAGAATCGAATGTATAGAAGCAATCATCTATGAGAAAGTCTCAGCTCTACTACAACGTGAATTTCTCCATGTGAAGTAAGGATACACAAATTATTAAGGTAGAATAACTGAAAGTTTTTTTCATGGAATAACTAAAAATGTAATGGTTCCTATAACAAAATATGCCATCTAGAAAATTGAAACATGAAATGGGTGACTACCTGCAAAACAAACAAAGAACAGTTAACAATTTAAAATAACATTTGCACTCAGTGCCACACAGCGTATTGTGTGCATGAATATTACAAGAGGAAATGAGAAATACACCATATACAAGATTAATATGCAACTATTTGTTTTACTACCTAATCATTATTATTATTATTTTACTGTCAAAGGGCATTTAACATGCAAATTAATTCCAACAAGTCAACAAAGATAATATTTACCGAAATTCCTTTAAAAAAAAAGTACCTGATCATTTAAACATATGAACAGATTTCAAAAATTTATGTAAAGTAAAAATGAAATAATAATAAAAAAATAATAATAATACAACCTAAATCATGTTCATTTAAAAGAAATCACTATAGGAATTTGGCACAATTTTAACAATTGAACAAAGTTTAGCTGTACATGTCACTGAGAAAATAATGAAATAGTTTTTCTGTAAATCCAAGAACTATTAACATACCGGACACGTTTTTTTCTCCAAGAATAGGAATGAAGTGCTATTTCTGACGAGCGAGAGACCTAATAGTTCCAAGGCTTCCTACTGGTTACCTCCAAGCATCTAATAACAATTCAAACTGCACCGTGATGGCGAATCACCAAGCATAGTGGTCACATTGCAAAATTGACTAACAGAATTCAGTCTGCATCAAACAAAGGACTAAACGCATGACTCTAGTTATTAGAATTCAGTCAAAATAAAATGCATTAATAACGCCGTTGTGTTGAAATGCAGGTCACCTGATTATGTTATGGTTGGAAACTAGATGCTATGAGCCAACAGAGTTCATAATGAAGTAGACACAATGCTTGATTATCGTCATCTTAATCGTAATATCATTTTCTCTTTACTTGTCATATTCAGCTTTGGTCCAATGATATTCAATGACTCTTAACTACTCTGTTTCTGTTTTTTGTGTAGATATATAAGGTTTGACTGTCCCACCTAATATTTAATACTGCATTCTAAATTGGTGACGTCACTCTGCGTATAATGTGTAGAAATGTACTGTATACTGGAATGACAGAAATATTTTTTCTTTTTACAGACCACCTTAGACTTTTACAAACTGTTAAAAACAAAATTTGTCGAAGTAAACCACGTATAATGGAGAAAACATTATCTTTTAACGATGTTGTTTTCAGTAATAGTTCTAAAATATTTGGGCGTCGAGCGAGAAGTAGACATTTGTAAAAAATTATATATGTAAAATCTCAGCGAGATTGGAATGAGTAATTCCAACGTTTCGTTCGGCAATCTGGTCCGAAATACTCATTTCAATCTCGCTGAGATTTTGCAAATATAATTTTTTACAAATTGTTTTCAGTAACTTGAATATTCCCATAATTAATTCAGAACAATTATAGTTAGCGAAAAATTGTTTCCAATAGGTTCTCCGTCAGGCTCCACAATTATAAATCCACTAATTTAAGCATACAATAGCCAATAAAGGTGAAATTAGCATCATATCAGAAATGTATTGTGGAACAAGTATAAGACGGGATAGTACAATAGTCAGTTAAAAGTCAATCTGAACGAAGAATATTCCTTTCAATAATTTCTCTTCAGGTTCTTACAATTATAATATACCCATCATGCAAACATTCAATTCTATCGAATTCTCCATTTATACTATCCGGACTTAATATTAGTGATATTATCTCTTTTCTAAATATATGCCTTCACCTGTTTCATTTCACGCATTCGTTATTTCATTATGAACCTCTCATTGCACTCTCACTATCTGCTCTTTAATACACACGACTGTGTACTAGCCACTCACCTGACACCGTGTATAACCTTGATCTGACTTGTCAGTTTTCCTACCCCACACTCTACAAATCTAATATGACTAATCACCACCATTGTCTCTCATTTTACAATATTTTATAGTCGATTTCAGCCTGGCACACTTGTCGCACAAATACTACCATTTTGACACCCCATAACTAATCTGTTATTCTACGTTAAAAATTTATATCCGCCGCATAACTCGCCATTATTGTAACGATAACAAATATTATATATTATAATTGTAAGAACCTGAAGAGAAATTATTGAAGAGAATATTCTCAGTTCATATTGTCTTCTAATTCATGATATGGGAATATCTCACACTATTAAATCTTATAACAGTCAGTTAGCTTTGAATATGCATGGTCAGTGAGAACATGAGATAAAATTAGATGAAATAATTCAATGTATATGTATAGTCAATAAATGTACAAGTCTCGAGGGTGAGTGGTGTGTGAAACAATATGAATACCACAGAAAATAAACCAGCGAATGAGGTGGGCTGGACATAAGTTCAAGGGTGAAAATAATGACAAAAATAATGATTGTGAAATAAAAACGATGTCAAGGTAGAAACTTAAATGTACTATTGACAAATGATTATCAAATAATAATAATAATAATGAATTTAGTGAAGTGAAATGTACAGGATTTTGTGAATATGATAACATGTTAGAAATGCTTTTCGCATTACTTAAAACTAAGGTAATAAAAATCATAAGAAAGGTCATGAAATCATAAAAGGTCAGAAACGAACGTTTGTCAGTAAAACAAAAGTCAAACTCGTAAAAACAAATCTTGCAAACGAACTCTTGAAAAAGAAGAAAAGTAAAATTGTGATGGGAATTTAAAGTGCTAGTGTTTATGGAGGATTTGCTGGCCTTCTTGTAGGCCAAGGTAAACATAGCGGTTGGACATAATTCATTCGTAACTGTTGTTTACTATCTCTACCTAAGCAATCTCAGAATGAATAAGCTTATTGTCAGGAGGTTTTTGCACCGGAGTGTGATTAGAAACGTGTATATGTTGAATAATAGTACTGATGTAGTAAACTGTTAAGCTTCTCTCTGACTGACTTGAAACCTGTCACTAAAAGAATGTATTTCTTCATTTTACCTTTGAAAAATTGTGAGGTAAACTCAAAGCAGACGTATTCTGCTCCCTTATCATAATCCTTTTAACTTCTGCTGCAATGCAAAGCTAAGTCCGGACGACTGTTGTATTATCAAATCGACTGACCGCTTTTCTCGTTAACCGATAATCAGCGATTAGTGACTCTTTTCAGTTATTTATCCTCTTGTTGCATAATTGCATACAGTTAACACTGAAGTGTCAGTAAAAACAGGAATATTTCCAAAGATTTGAGACAGTTCATTTGAATTATTTTGCTATCGAATTAAATTAACAAAGAAACTATGTAATTGGCACAATCATCGTGTTTTCAGTCTCCGTTGTCTGGAACAAAATGCACATCCTAAATCCGTAGCTGTCGAGTCACCTGACAACTCCAGTAGGTCGAATAAAGCAGCTCAATATTCAGAAAGAAGACAATGCAATAAGTTCGACAGGGTGCTTAAACTAAACTCTAATCCTAAACACCATAATTTTGAAAATACGTCTAATCATAAAATTCTAATACTAGCAGTTTGACGGACATGAAGGTTTGATGTTAGCTGATGCATAGGAATCCTGATTAATAAATAAGAATGGACATGTATCACTAATTAATAATACTTGGTCAAATTCCTGACTGTCTATATCTTCCTATGGAGACGTTAAGAAATGTTTTACAACTGTTTACACACACACGCATGCACACTCTGTTTAAAGTATTTAACAAAGGTAGACCAATATTTGTAAGTCCGAGGTCAAATTTTGATCACAGCTCATACAATTTTGTTTATTATACTTGTTAATACCTGTGTTTATGAATCATGATTGGACAAAGTTTTTAAAAAGATGTGCCTTTTATATATAAAACCTCTGTTATGTTAATTTTGATTAATTTCCCTGAAGAAGTTCGGACCAGATTGCCGAACGAAACGTTGGAATTACTTATTTCAATATCGCTGAGATTTTACAAATATAATTTTTTACAAATGTCTACTTCTCACTCGGCGCCCAAATATTTTAGAACTATTCGGTCAATCTTGAATTTCCAAAGATATCTTATTAAGAGAGATTACGTTTTATTAAAAATTGAAATATGCAAAAAAATACTCACTTTAAGGGTAGTAATCACACATGGATTTGTTAAAATTAAACTGATACCGATACTACTTAACTAATTTTCAAGATATAATGCAGTTAATAGAATCAAGTGAGAATCAGCAGTTAGAATGGTAACGTAGAAAGTGATGTGATTTTGCAATTATTAAGTTTGCTTTTATTCTGCAATAATGAAATAGTGCATATACTTCATTCCGGATACTGCTAACTCATGGCGTCTATTTTCCAATTATAAATATGGGTTGTCAACTCTAATATAAGAGTCAGTACAGCAATCAGTGACTTAATTTCACTCATCAACATTGTACTTTTCCTTACCTATTCTTCTTCGAGTGTGTAACGTTGAAATAAAGAAAGAGTAAGCACGTATATTAGAAAACCGACCTACCTTATAGGATAGCAGTTCGTAACTGAAAGCATTTATATTAGAGCTAATTAGTTTGAATAAACCTGAAAATAGTATGCGACCGTTAAACTAATAGATTAAGAGTTCAGATTTCATGCTGAATATTTTAGCCAATTTTATCTACTGTGTGTATAATCGAAATGATGACAATACAATAGTTCATAAATGTAACTTGAGTTGCAATAAGACAACTATTTTTATCTTGTTTCTTTACTTCTCCAGTGGAACATAGTGCTTCAAGCTAGAGCTTTGAAGTTTCAGTAGCTGTGGTATTTATTTTTACGGGATGGGGCTGCTAGCCTCATGCCTACCTAACCTTCCCTCTTTACCAGTCTCATTACTGGCTTAACGAGGTTTAGGAGTGCGGCGGCCTGGCATCGAACCTCGGACCAATAAGATAACAGCGAAATTAGTAAGATATCAGAATGTTGCAACATTTAATATAGTAAACAAAAATGTCATACCATCAATACTACTATCGGATGCGATGCTTAAATTAAGATCGGGTTTTTCAGAAGTTGTGGTAGCCATTAAGTGTCTTCTGTTAATTAATTTATCCAAATTTGGAGCGCGCACTAAGATGATCCAACCAAAAGCCCGTTTAGCCAAACAGCGTAATTCGGTAAGACGACTACGAGGATAACACAATAACTTCAACCTTGTAGAAATAGGAAGAACAAAATTTGTAAAAAATATTATAGGATCCTGCAAGTAACTCGTTAAAATATTTTAGATTTAATGTAGTTAACTTCAAAAACATAGTTTAAAATTACATAAAAGTAATGGTACAACTATCATCAAGAAGTGACAAGGAAATGAAAATAGCTCTTAATAGATTATTCCCTATATTTTTGACAATGATAACATATAAAAGGCTTAGGGGGAGGGCGAATTCGTCAGGTTTTTACATTCATGTAACGATGACCAAGGTAAGGAAAGTGACTGAACGAATTTCTTCCGAACACAGAGGATTGGCTTCTTCAGATGGATTCCCATGGGTTCAGTTGTACGTAGACAACGAACTCGTAAAGCAAAATCAATATTAGTTGGAATGCGATAAGTAACCTTAAATGCTTTATCAACATCAACTAACACGTGGATAAGGAAAATTCAAGGGAACTGTAGTGAACGAAAATGCGTAGGAGAAAGAATAAGTATATGAGGAGTGATGGAAACTTGATGAATCTACGAGTTCATAAAGAGTAAAAACATCTGACCCATTCAGAACACTCTAATAGTGAACACTGATGAAAGGTTTAAAAATTTTTTTTAAATGATTCTAAAATATATTAATCTCTCAAGTATTCAAAATAAATAAGTGGCTGCATTTGACTCAATATGAACTGATTGAAGCATATTAGCCAATATTTTGAATAAGTGATTTCTCTTACTTCTCGGTATCAACAAGAGATAAAGTGTCAGTAACTCAACCTGAGGATACCAGAATTAATGCAATGAGTTTACGAGAAAGGAATACCTGAAGTACTTTCACGCTTGTTCTTGACCTGATTAACCGATTCACCTTGTTTATGACCTGATGACTTACCTACAGATTCTTTTACTAGTTTAATCAAGTACCAACTTAATTTACTATGAAGACGCAAAGGAAATAAAAACCCTAGCAACCTAGTGTACAGGACTCGGTTAGACGTATAGAAATTATCCCCGAGAAGACAACAACATGGTAGGGCACTTCCATGACAGGAAATGATGTTAGGATGAATATTTCTAGAAAATATGAAATCTTGAAGTAGCAAGAGAAAGTAAAATGCATTCTTAAGTATCTCTATTGGTTGATTATCTGGTAGTAGTATAACATGATCTGCACACTAGTAATCAGCAAGCAGTGATAGGAGAATAGGGAACATTTACTCCCCGATATGAATTTAACAAAAACAATAAGGGTTAATAAGACAGGATTTAATGAATTCATCAAATTTCGGCAGAACTCTTCCGCTGAATATTCTACATACAGGGATATATATATATCCTACTGGAAATACGCTGTGAGATATAAAACTGATAAGCAAATAAACTACATTGAATAAATCATTCAAAGTGAAAGGTGTGAATGTTTTCCAGGTCATGTTCAGATAGATAAGGGGGACGGAGTATGACAGATTAAAATTAAGATAAAATGCATTACGCTTCAATTACATCACTTGGATAAAGAATTAGTCATTAGAGAAAGAATTGAGAACTGAGTAATATTAATAGTAATGTTTGTAATAATAACGCTGAAACGAGTAAGATAATGCTGATGATAAAAGATAGTTTTAAATGAATCAGAAATAATAATAAGAGGCACAATAAAGCGTTAAAAATATTGATAATAATAATAACAGTTAATGAGTAAAACGTATTACCATGGTAGATTCAGAGTGACCACCATTTCCTTTTGTACACAGAGGCTTGGTTTATAATCTCTAATTGCACAAGCCTCCGCAATTGCGATCATCTTCTTGTTCCTTTGTCTGCTGACAACAGTGAATGACTTGACAGAGTCGATTCCATGTGTGTGGTCCACAAGATGCGTTGTTATTGAGCTTTTTGGCACTTTGAATTCAGCCGTCTTTAACCATCTCAGCAAATGCTCCATCATGCGAATAGACAATCGCCTTTCTGTACGACCGATGTATTTGCTTTCACAAGTATACTCAAACTGATATGCGCAGTTTGAAGTGTCAAAGATTTGCGACTTGTCTTTCTCTGATTGTTGAAGCACTCACGTGGTGGTGTTAAGGAAGAAAGGTTTTTCAGAATAATAAGTTCTCTTGATATCTTTATCAAGTCATCGTTTAACTACCTCTTGTACATTATCTCCTTTTGAGTGGCGAATTGATACAGACAGTTCTCTTCGCAACTGTTTGGATAGTATTACAAGGGCTCGTTTCTCTGGAATATTTATTAGTGAATTTCTCAGGACATCCATTTTTAGATAAAATATCTTTTAGAGCCTTTATTTCACGTTCAACTGTACTGTCAGAACAAATTTTTCGTGCTCTATTAAATCCTGCTTTATTAACCTTTGTTATTTGTTTTCAAAATAGGAGAATAGACTGTAATTAGTGATTATAATGTAATGTAACTCGTCTATCTTCCACTGTTACGTATTACTGATAACAACCTGCAGCCGACTAATCAATCAATAGTTAAATGTCAACGTATGTGATTAAGTTAGCAAGACGTATTTCATATCAGTCCTTGACTGATCAATGACAATACTATTATTACTAAGCAGCCCTGTTATGTTATTGTTCACACAATTCTATTTAACACTAGAAAGCTTGTCAAGTTAATTAGCTAAATAAATACAGAAAATTCGAAAACAAGTTCACAAATAAATAAATAGCTGACCATAGAGTAACTTCATGCTTACTTTGGGTGTAACAAGTGTACCATTGAAGCCATATTAAACAACTTGTCTGGGAATATTGTAGTACCCAAACTAACTGAAGCAGATGAAAGCGATTGTATAGATGAATCAACCAAAGTAAGGGATGGATTACGCTCTGAATTATCACAATCGGAATTAGAACTAACAGTAAGAGAAGTATCTTTTATAGCTGTTGCATTTTGTTGACTGTTACGACAAGATGAACACATATTAAGTAAGATATTACGAGAAACTCCACATGTGACACAAATATTTGACGAAGATTCAATAGCACCGGGTGGGGAGAAAACCTCAGGTACGTTAGTCACACAAACTCCTGATTTACCCATACTCATTCCTAACGTGTTCGCCTCAAATTCCTCATCAATAACACATTTACTAGGTCTTGCACAGCTCGAAGTAGATTGATTCATTCTCATAGATTCGCATTTAACCCTTTCACGAAAGCGGGGTAAGCAGAAACAAGTGCGTAAATAAGCTACGTTAGTTGCAGCAGTTTCAACACGTACTGGAGATGAATTTCTGTCAACTGGGGAATGCATTATGTTGAAAACAGAATGAGGCTGGTTGTACGTACTTGCCGACTGTATAAAATCAGCAAATAAATAATATAATCCCAAAATACAACGTAAACATGGATTAAGCTGACGAAGTCTACGACGTCGATTGAGTAATCGCCTTCGTCTTTCTAAGCGTTTTTCCTCTGCACCACCTGAAGAACCATTCGAACGTTGAGAAAATCCCTTTCTCACCTGATCACTTTCATTGAAACTGTTCTTATCTCCTTCACCAGAAGACTCTCCAAAAGTTAACTGGGGAAGGTTCAAATCTGAATTCGAAACTTTTTTATCACACCGATTTGTCAACCATAATACGCCACTAATGAGGATCAATATACCAATAATAAATCCAACAACTGAATAGGCAACAATCTTCTACAATTATTTGCAATGGAAAAACAACACAAAAGCAGTATTAAACGAAGTAAAACAGAAAAAAACTATACTTATTTATTATAGAAGAATATGTCACAAAAACCTTGTAAACGAACTTTTCAAAAAAGCTATATTAAAGTTGATTTAAAACTATTTAACCCGAAAGCTTATGGAGTTAGTAAGTGCACTCTTCTGCTTATTTTTCGAGGCGGATTCTTTTTTTTTCAGTTGAAGATCAGTATGACCTAGTAGTCGGAAAAAAGCTATCCCATGAATTCAGGTTGTATGTATTTCGAAGGTTTAACAAGTAGTTTTATCTAAAACGGCAATTCGCTTCAGTTTTAAAGTGTATCTAGATCTGATAATGACACGACAATAGTAACCAAGATTTCAAAGGTTTCTTTCAACGCTTTATTTACAACCTCGTAAAGTACTTAAGCAAAATTGACAAGAGTCTGTATCTGCAGCCAAACTCTGAAAGTGAGTCGTCCATCTAGCCAGTTGATGAAAAGTCTAGTGGAACATCAAAATCCGGAGCGGAATACGCCAAATTAAAGCACATATAGTTTTTACATTAAATCAACAAGACTCAAAAAGCATTTATACAGGCATTTTTCCTCTACGTCTCTAAAATATGGTTTTACCAACCTATGCGATGTTCGATCACTACTAACTCAGTAGGAGTTCTAGAATTCGACGGTAAGACCAAGATCTACCAGTGTATTTGAGCATAATGAATATAACTAATTAATAATCGATCAGATCTTATTACAGATGTTTCTATGGCTTTTCAAAGGCTTCTATATTGTTTCATATCCGCTAACCACAAGAATGATCTGAGAAATGATAATTAACTAGTTACAAGGCACCCTGAGATGATACTTTTGTTTAAATAACATACACTGATACCCCAAGTCTTCGTAGGGTGGTGTATGAAGAAACATCTGAATGAGTGACTCAAAAAGTCATCACATGCGATTCAGAAGTGAAAGTGGTAGGGCTTATGCAACTACTTCTACTATCGAAATGCAACTTCTTTAAACCTGTCTTATGAAATCGTTTATTTGTTGACAGTTCACTGTATTTATTCTTACCTATATCGTCTCATAAACCTGATACTACATACTTTATTCAAGTTCATTTTCGACCCCTTTCACAGTACATATTTAGAAAGGTAATTTCAAGCTAAACAAAAGAATAACCTTACTAATTATAAAAACAAAACCGTAATATCCAATCTAGACAACACACCAATTTTATCCAGTTATGGATTTAAAAACCAATTACACAACAATACAAAAATCCTGTCAAATAAGGTTAAGTTATCCATTTACAAAAAGGGCAATAACATGTGATAAGTTGTGCCATATATACATATATATATATATATATCGCAAGAAATGAGCAAAAGTTCAAAGTTGAGATTATCAGAGAGAGAGAGAGAGAAAAAAATAGACACAGAATATTATACAAGACATGAATGCACAAGCTTAGACACAGTCATTCAAACAATGAATCATTATACATATTATAAGACAGATACTGCCAACATTTGTACTAATAATCAATAGAAGTTTAGTTTAAGACACAAATATTAATATTATATATATATATATATTGAGTGAGAAGTTATCTGCATGCAAAGTAATAAAATCACTATTCATGATTAATTTTAAAAGCATAGCTTCCTTGATTTAGCCGAGATTTTAAAAACACAGCACTTAGAGCGTAGCGATGAATTTCTCTTAGATTTCAAATTCAAATGATAACATTGAAGAGGTTCTTAATCAATTTCTAATTATGTTCACCAGCGCACTACACAAGCACAAATTATGTGGGCAGTCTATATATATATATATATATATATATAGGCGTGCCAAAAGATAAGCATGCATCAAAGCAATCGCAAATGGCCATTAATGTTCAAACATCTCGTTTGCACTATGAACTGCTAAGATATTCGACACTAGGTTCAGGAATTCTTCTATGACATCCAGCGACTGATTCAAAGTTTTTTTTAATAATAAAGCCGTATGCCAACCAGAAGTGAAGCTTAAGAAGTAGCAAATATGTGAACATCCACATCCGAAGCTCCAAACATTCTCCGCCGTATTCAGACATTGTAAAAATATTTAAAGACTAAGCAGATACGTTTGACTACGCTCGATATTATTCAAGAAATCAGGTTGATTATGCTATCAAGAATAATCCATTAGTTAAAAACGTTCTTGTTCGTTAAAAAGAATCTTGATAAACTCAAATGACTTTAGGTGAATTATTCGACTAGCATAGAATAATCAATTACGAGAGAAAAAAAATTAAAAACAATATTATTATCCTTAGTACCTCTAACTGGACTTTCGTTTTTCTCAACTCTCCATCTGATCCAGCAGCAGACGTCCAGTTATGATTGGCTTCGCTAGGATTCGTTTTCAAACATTGAGGAATCTCATGACAAAGAATGAGAAACCATTTCTCGTAAGGATTAGACTGAATCTCTTCAAATGGGTTTAGATAATTGTCTTCGTTTTTCCTTTGACTTAAACAAAATGGTTTTGAGGCTAGACCGGATGGATTTCTGCAAACAGCAGATGAACTAGCTGCATAGCCCAAACTATGAGGAAAGGTGAAGCTATTTAATGCATATAAGCCTGGCCAAACATTAGATGGCAGATTTCGCATATTATCATCTTCCTGAAATTTCAAATTAGCCCATGGTACGCATCCTGGCACTGTAGCAGAGCCGATGTAATTTTCACCATTTCCAACGATACAGTCCACTAGCAAGACAATTAAAAAATTATTATTCAGATAGTGAAAATATGCATATTGTTGGGCAACGAATATAATCAACAATTAAACTAGTGTAACAATCCAAAGACCTAAGTAGTTATAAATAAGGTAGAAAAGGAGAGAAAGTTGTGTAACTATAACATGGATCATCGTTATAAGTACATTATTGTCAGTGAAACTCATACTCTGAAAGGTATACGCAAGTTGGCTTGCAGGTGAATCGGTGTCATATAAAACCTACATGGACTGACAGATTATATTAATTGACTAATTGGTCCTATCAACTTACTTCATATATAATTGAGTCTAGGATCATACTTTCGAGATAAAAGAAAAGATTCACAGCTTCAGATGAGGTGTGTGGTGTTCTGTGAACTTTGATCTTTGATCGTGGACATTCCACGACAGTGTTTTATACCCTCAGCATTCACTTCATCAATAAATGAGGCATTATTACAGATTTTATCAAACACTACCTAAATACTCACATCAATTTTGAACATGCTTCATTTCCTGATGAAATTAATGCTAATTCACTTACGTTTTTATCCAGTGCAAATGTTTTACCTATGTTAGTACGAGATTATACATTGTTCAAATTAACTACAAACATAAATAGAAAGAAACAGAAGGCAAGGAAGCCTAGTATAGTATACACTAACATTGACCATAGGTGTCTAGTATGACACTAGTTAATCGAAAGATCTAATCAGCCAAATTGAGGTAAACGAGAAACTAGCCTAAAGATGTCATCAATGACACAACCAGTATATTTCACCTAGAAAATGTTAATATTTAGTTATAAAAAGGCATCTGAAATGTCTGCAGGGTATAGGTCGCTTTGATAAACAACGTTATTCATGCACAGTTTGAGAAGAACAATGATTTCACTTCCAAATCAGTACTAAACACAATCAATAAATACGATTTTAAAAACTACGGTGTTCACATAAAACTAAAATTCTTTGTAGGACGCTCACCGACCATGCGCATGGTCCGGGGTTCGATCCCCGGTCGACGCACTCCTTTACCTCGCCAAGCCAGAAATAATGCTGGTGAAGAGGAAAGGTTGGGCATGAGCACTGCTACAGAAACTTTAAGCCACTAGCTTGAAGCCCTACGCTCCACTGGGGAACGTGAAGGAAAAAAATTCTTTGAGTGCAAAATATAGTTCCCTGAGATTACTTTATTTTCCTGAACAAAAACTAAATGATTCATAGCCAGAATGATTTAATTCTGAATTACACCATTAGAATATTAAAAAAAAATTATGTTGGGAAGAGTTACAACACTATAAAACTTAAAATAAAAGCTAAATCAGTAATAACTAACTACTTGATGTAGTAGAGTAGATCAAGAATCACTAATACACACAATTCATACCAGATTATAGTAAAGAAACGATCCCACTAGGACGTCTATAGCATCTAACAACCAACACTAACGGCAACTAAGGTTATACAATTCCCAAACAACAAAAATATCCTCCTATTGACGATGTATATTTCACGGTTCAATGCATTAAAATATCTGCAGAAAGTCGGTCTGACATAACCATCTAACTTAAGTTCACCCAGGACAAACAGTGAGCCATCATAAAAGAAAGGATAATACCACTCAGCAGCCACATACCTCTACACTCACTAGACAATTAGCAAGTCCTATGGTATCAGGAATACTAGTAGTACTCAGTTATTTAAATTTTTGATAAATTCAGTAGGGTTTCGATTTGTGACCCATTGGTTGGCTGAAAGTTGAATGCTTATATCAATAACTCACAGCCATAAACAACTGAGGGTCAAGAGAACTAAAGACAAGAAAGTAAAAGTATCCCCCACTGTTTAAACAACACTTCATAAATTTCAAATCCATGAGCACTGGTACCAATTAAAACTTCAGTATTTTTACCGGTGAACTATGGAAAAATGACAAATAAATATTGAAAGATGGCTATAATTTGTCACTGAAGTGTCTCATATTATAAAAATTATATATCCTATTGATTTTACTTGGAATAATATTGAGAAGATACAAGATTAAAATAACTTTATCCCACATAATGCTTTTTTATACTGTGCATTTAAAGAACGCATAATATTCATACAAATTCTTAAGATGTCGTCAAGACGCACCTTTTATTTAATCAAGTTTTAGGTTAAGCTGAGCATCTTGAATTTTTAAGTGATTATATCACAGTACCACTACTCACACCACTACTACTGATATAAACTATTTGTTGCTTTCCTTCAATACACAATATCATATTTATTATTATTATTATTGTTTCCTTTAATTCCTAGAGGAACATAGGGCTTCAGCCGTGCGTCTCCATTGCGTTCGGTTCTCTGCTAGAGTCTTTACCTGGCTCCAAGTCTGCCCACACGTTTTCATCTCTCTCACATCAATATCCATATTTAGCATTATTATTTAGCTAAATCATTCACGATTGTTCCAGTGTAGAGTACAACATTTTTCTGCCACAGTGTCAATGTAGGCTCTAGTTTGCAGTTGTACTTAGTCTACTAATGTTCGAATCAAGAATCCGTACATAGGAGATAGATAATTTGTCATTTTATTGGCCAAGAGCAACGAACAAATGTGGCTGATTTAATCTCAGGTTAACAAAGTGTTATTAACCATCGCCTAAATGATCTGAACCGATAAATTGGTGATAAAAGCGTATGGAAATTAATATTTATAGATTCAACTACTGATATTAAATTTTTTTAAACAAAACAACTTGGGAAAAAGATATGTAAAAAAAACTTGCAGTCTTGTCGATTGTCAATTTTTTGAATTTGTTCCGTATAGCTTGTTGGAAATCTCTTTTCCAGTGGTAATCGTGTGCATAAACTTTTTGTAAAAGATGTGGAGGATGTAGTATAACCATCGCCAGATGAACACATTGGAAACGAATACATTGATGTCCCATTAGCCACCAAATCAGAAAAACGAATCAGAAGGTTTGGATTTTTAGCTTCGGGTACACTAATGAGTTCTGACCATCCAGTCCTTATATACTGAGGTGTTGATGATTCATTTTGAAGGATATGGTGGATTAGTCCATCCAAAGCTGAATTATTAGACATATTCAATGGGGAATAGCAAAAGAGGCTTGCGACAGCTAGGCAATGTTTTCTGTTAACGGGAAAATAAACATACAATTAATCTTTAACATATATTGTGGTGGTGTGATACAAACAATGGGTTCCAACGGAATATTATTCTCACAGTAAGAATCATTGTATTTGTTGGTGTTAACGTCTAAATACCTCGGCTTCCGTTGTTACAATATTTGCTCAAAATGCGAGAATATATATACAATATATATATATGCATCCTCACTTATCATTTAATGCAATACGATAGACATTTGAAGGTTGAACGACAGAATAGAATAGTTGAGTATACAAACATGGGAGTAAAGAAAGCAGCAAACTACTTGTAAGTAGGTGGACGGGTCACTCGAAATTTCTTGCCTTAAATATATATATATATATATATATATAATCTTCTAGATCACATCCTTTGATTCTAATCTTCCACGAAATGAAACTGCTAAAGTGTACAAATATGTCAAGCGATTTGTATCAGGTTACACATTATTACCGTGCGTAAACACGGATCCGTCATTCGCAGTTACTTCAGGTAGTTTAGCTAAAATGTCTATAAATGGTTCGCAAGATATTTTTTATATATAAGAATAGAACACGGAATATATTTAAAGCCTACATGTTATAGTACAACTTTTACTGTCAGGTTATGATAAGGGGTCAAAAGCTAATAGCTGCATGGGTGAAGACGTTATACAACCTACAAAAGTTGTACATGACCTCAAAATAATGCTCAGTTTTAATTTAACTAACAATATCAAACTCCATTGATCATTGATGATAACCGGGCCTACCTTTCTCCACAACCCAGTGAGCTAAACTGGTTGGAACGATGACGCCTGAGCGTCCTAATATACTACAAACATTGGACAGATGATAGTAAGACTAAAACTAGTTATGTTGCAGTGGGAATTTTGTACACTGAAGTGATAATCTAGGTGAGAATTTTACTGATGATCGACAAGGATGCAATGCCAATAGGATGGTTCTCTAGGATGGTTAGAAGATTAGCTAAGCCGTTTTCTAACTCTGAGTAGTTAGAATAAGTTGTCCGCCTACCCTCCCCCCAAAAAAGCCAGCATGTACTACGACAGTTGGCTGCTGGCGATAACACTGTTCAGTATGAACGGAACTCCCGAAACTGTAGTGTTTTTCGATGCATCACCATCATAGAGTGTGTTAAGTCGACCTGATGAACTCTTGTGCAAAGTCCTACGTTGATTTGTCCTTCACTCCATCACCTGCCTCAATTCTACATATATTTAAGCTTAATTTTAAATATCTGACTATGTATCTGCCTATCTCTGAGAATTTTAGAAAGGTTAAAAACCAATGTATAATGACTAATTTTTAACTTCAAATAAGAAAAGTTGATTATTATCAATTACTTTTACCTCATAACTTCAAAACCCTGGTTACAATATTCAAGTGAACCTCAATATTGAGTGGAGGCGTTTTACACTTTTTAGGTACTACATTCACGGACTACTGAATAACTATTCCAAACTGAAAGAGAACTGCATAAAATCTTGTGCCATAAAAAAAGGTGGACAAGTAAACAGACTTTTTAGAAAAACAAAATATATACCTAGTCCGTGTTGTTTATTTTTCGTAATAATTGTAACTACACAGATCAAACCAAAGGTCACATTTAGACATAAACGCTATAACACTGTTCCGGATTATTTCAAAAATTAATACATGAATTTCCGTAGCTAACACTGGTAAAAAAACGCTTACTGTGTAAGTCAGTCGAAACTCTACAAAGCCACGCTAAAATTAATTTAAACTGTGGTTAAGGCTGTTTTTCATTTGTACAACTAAACTTCAGCTAGTCTCAGGAGTATTTCTCTATAAATTTTATAGACATCCTTAAGAATGTGAATTCCTTAGTTTTCAAGTTTCGCTTTTTAGGGATCTGATTGGTTACAGGTCTTACCACGAGCTAACATCAATTAAAGAACCATTAGACAAGAGAGGCAGCACTAGACACAATGAAAGGCGTTGCCTGCAGTTCTAATGAGAAGTAGCCAGACGGGATGAAAAGTCAGGCAAGACAACAGTTATTCGCTTATGACATTAGTTGGCGGTTGAGCTAAATATCGCGAATTGGCAGGAGTTAGAATTCATGGACAATTGGTTTGGGTCCCTGTGGCTAATTGGTCCACGACCTAACCTTGCAACCGGTCCTAGGTTGAAACCCCGGTTGGTGTGTGCTGACAAAGATTCCAAAACTAGGACAAAACAGATATGCAATTCCTTAGTAACTGTCCACTTCTTATATATATATATATTATATATTATATATATATATATATATCCACCCATGCGATTGCGTTAATGTTAATTAAGAATGTATCAAACGCTTTGTACTATTTAAAAATAAGTCTATTAACGTGGTGAGATCCGCAGTTCATTTTCAAAGGTGGTTTTCAAGAATTTCTAGCATATCTTCTCTAAAACTAATTCACTGAAATATCTTTCTCGTTTACGTAAATGAAATAAATCGATTTTCTTCTATCCATTTCAACACGAAACTGTTAATACATAAATAACCACAGAGAAACTTACGCACAAACAGGATATTCAGTATAAGCATTGACAAGGAATGATTGAGACACTGTGTCTGGGCCATGGATTTCACATCGAGGATAAGACATAGCACAGGTTAAATGTTTCGCCCAATTAATACATGTCCACGATGCACTTGGTAAATTCTCTGTACTCATAGCCATATTTGATTCTGTGTTGGATGAATTCAATAAATCACTAAAGTTTGCATTAGTTTCTGATAAATACATCGATGTTGATGACGATGAAAACAATTTATCCCAGCTGTTAAACAGATTCTCAATAGCTTGATTACTGAGTTCGCTAGAATACATACGAGATCGAGAGATTAAATACGGATCCTTATACTCATTGGCAATATTTTCTATGAATGGGTAACATATAGAGGATTTAGGTAAAACAGATGAGTATAACTGACACTGGGACTGTCTAGAAGCAATAAAACAAAAAAACATCGAGTTGAAGTGCATGTAATGCGAACAAAATACGTTGAGTGAAAAATATAAATGAAAAGTACAAAATGTTACTCAACAACCACTTGCAATTCCATGCAGCTGACAATAAGCCACACGTATTTTATGAGGACTAATGATACTACCTGACTGTCCAAAACCTTGATAGATGAAGCAAGGCTCGGAAGCCGTCGCCTAGTGGTTGGAAGACAACCATCTATATTAATCAGTCACAACTCCACAAGAAGAATACAACCAAACTAATATTTGCAGGTCAAAGGTCTATATTGGAGTGATAACCGACTGACGAATCAGTATATAACTTTGCAGTAAGGTGGTTCAGTTCCATTGGCTGTACATTGAACAAGGAAGCAGAAGAGAGGGAAAATGAAACCACAATGGATAAAGTTGCATTGGAGGAATAATTAAATGAGAAATAGTTGAGATATTCAGGATTTGGAAAACCATCATCAACTATTTTCAGTCATATTGTGGTGAGAGCTGGCTGCTAACCAAAGTTGGTAGACAGTAATTGACGTCAATGTTTATGTCCCCAATATTGGTGGTGAGAAAATGAGAACAAAGGCTTTGCGTAGGCGGATACAGTTAGCATATGGATGATCTGACACAGCCACAAAGAGATGCAAGGTTAACTTTCTGTGAGAATCAACCAATCAAAAGACTGTATTTTCTACTAACAATAATCTACAATAATGTACATTAAAATCTATAAATATGTGTTGATTTTCCTTAATTAAAAGATCTGTTGCTTAGCCCTTGTCTTCTGTTGTTACAATATTACCGAAAGTACTCAATCAATAGTTTTTAGCATACTGATGATAACAACAAGACAACATACACCTTATGTGGCATTAAGCAACTTCATAAATTCTGCCACCCCGATTCTTTTCCAGCTTAATCCTACCTCACTTAAAATTATTCATTAGGGAGGATGAAGGTTAGATGACTTACCAAAACCCTAACTACACAAGTAACCGTCTTTGAATCGTATAGATAGTCATTTTTGACTTACAGTGTTACGCTATATCGCATAAGAAACAACTATATGTTGTTAGTAAGGGTAATTAAAGCTTAATGTAAGTGTAGAACTTGGGCACTGTGGGAGAATGTAATTCCATATTAGATAAGTTTATTTTAAATATCATACAGTGATGCAGTATCAACAATCAGATGACATTTGGAGCATAAATTATTGCTCATAATCATATACAAACCTCATCCAGTTGTTAATACTGCATCACTGTGTGGTAATTAAAGTTCACCTGCAAACTCATCAAACAAAATCTAAGTGATGTTGATTATCTGTAATATGCAGGTGTCCGTCTAACATTATGATTAGTTCTAAGACTAGATGCCTGTTTCAACTACCTTGCATAGAAGATACGATGCTGAGATCGGATAAACCTTTTGATAGACAGCTGATTAGCTATAATGTTAGTTACAAAAATTCAGCTCGCATGACACCAACAAATCACCTTGCTAGTATTACAATTGAATCTTTAGAAAACACGTTAGCGTATCAGATGCATTGAAAGACATGACTGTAGTTAATTTATTATTCCTCACATTCAAGTAAGTTCTTCATTTACTATTTTTAACAGCACGATAAAAATTATGAAATAAGCTTCTAATCACAACATATTTATCACCTTCGGCATTACAAAGGAAAAGCTTCAATAACAGACAATTGATATTTGTCTAGACTTTACTAGCATGATGAACTATCTATTTTACTCTTTCTCAAATTTTTAATCCCTTAATTACACTTTTAAAAAGGCAGTTTACTTTAGCGCGACCAAACATAATTTAACCTTCATTAGCCTCACATTTTGACATCTATGTCTGATATATATACTTTTATCACGTGATAAGTACATTCTAACTATTTCTTTAAGACATGTAAAACAATATTCTCTTTATTGGTTAAGACTACACAGTTCAAGTGTAGACATTTATATTCAGTAAAGCCAGCTAGAGTGAATGAGTTCAACCTAAAACATTTTTTCAAGAGGATTTAAATGTACATATGAGAATGGAATCAAGTCACCAATAATGTTAGAATTTATAAAACTAGTAAAGTTTGTATTTGAAAACTTTAAATAATTCATATCGAAGTTCCTCTTGTGGACATAGATACACTCATAATTTATCTCCTTTTGAGTCCTATGAAATCTCACCTTCCGGCTCACTATCATATCATTGTGCCTGTCCAGCAAAACGATCAGCTGTTAAAGCAATACGTCAAATTAATGAAATTCTTTGTTTACTACTTTGGAAACAAGCCTAGTTTAACTTCAGAATTTGCCGTGACCGAAACGCGAAATTTGAAAAACAACCTATTATAAACGCCAGTTAAATTCTTCGAAAAACTTGAAGTATAATCAAACGACAACGATGAATACAAGCACCGATATCTTTTTGAAAACATTTTTGGTGATATTTGTATTCAGAGAGAAAGATATTACTGAATGAGTCATAGGACAACAACAGTCTTAACGAAGGTATAGTTCATTTTAACTAAGTTGGTTGTTGCTTATGAATTTTGCTGCCTTCTATGATTCAGACCACACAAATACTTCTCAATGTACAAATAAAAGAGAAATCTTCTTAATGCAAGAACTTACGAACCAGAAAATCATGTAGCAATCCAAATTTCATTTGATGACATAAGATTGTCTGTGAAATCATGATAAAGGTGATAGCTAAGTTTAAAAATACAATTGAAATATATTTGAAACAATGGTGAACACTGATTCATGCCAAAGAATGTTGCCGTCCCTTTTGGAAATACATGAGTGGATTTTCCTATACACCATTTGCACAGCAAACTCACTTGTAAACCACTACATATTTAAGAACACATCTTGCTCAACTGTTTAAGCTATTCTTGAGCAAATTATCGTGTAACAAATGTTGAATTCTGGTAGTATATATAACTTCCACACTTAGGACAGTTCAACACAATATCTAGTTTATAACTTTAGATGTACCATAACTAGCTTTTAATATTCTTCGCCAGAAACTCTATATACCCGCAAAAGGTCATACTCTTCCTATAGTATCTATAAAACAAGCGTTCGGAAACTGGGTTATACTCATGATAAAAGATTTGAAACCTATTTCTATTGACTAGAAATAACAGCAATCATTTTCATTATTAAGTGAAACCTTGCTTTGACTTTCTACACGCTTTATAATGTAACACAGTATTCCCTGATAAATTGAAAATTCAAGGAAACCAACAACATCTCCCTATGTTATTCACGAAATTCAAATCAACACATTTTAGAACTGAATATAAGTATTTGACTCATGGTCAAGGTATTAACGTGCTCAATTCACAAAAGATATTAACATTTCAAACCTTAATATTTTTTTCAGTCAGAAACCACTGAATCTGCCCAATAACTTTTACTAAGTAAACACACATCAGCTGGTCGTTCCCCTTATTTTGACTGAGCACAATGATGATGTGTTTGGAGATATTTATACAAAAAAAATGAATTTTTCATAAAAGTCAATTAATTTGCACGAGAACTACTGCAATGTGAAGGGAATGAATTGGCGAATTGCCTAGACACTTGACACATGAATACATTTAGCAAACTAAACTAGATTGTAAACCATCAGACCATGATTTCATTCTTATTTTCTGTTGATTTAATCCTTTCAAATTACTCACGACTTCAATATTATCTAGTGTTGAGAACACTTTTGCATGGACAGGAAAAACTTGAGAATTAGGTTAGTTTTTGACCAGTTAAATTTTAAAGCAACTCGTCCCCTTTATGAATTTCGACAGCATATTTTATTGATGAATGAATAATGATGTATTCACGTAATTTATAAATCTTGGAATTAGAAATATATATAGTTATTATCAAGGTCTTTATCAGTTTCTGCAGTTGAAAAATGAACTGATCAACATGGTAATCTTAAACTGGATATTATCAATCGCTAATCTCTATCCTAGCAATATACTGACAGTAGTTTCGAAGTTAGAATTCATACCTTCGCCAAGTTAGAAATGCAAGCCAGCATAAACACTCAGGAGGCATATACTCTGGAACATATACTATTAAACAATAAATTGTGAAATTTATTACCTAGGACAGACTGATTACAAATACTGAACGAAAATAATGCTAGTTGAAACTATGAATCATGTTACATTCGCATGTCTATTTTTAACTACCCAACGAATATTTAGGTTAGGGGGTAATATTGCAAGAAAAAATAGAACTGCCTTTAAGTGAATAAAGACTGGGAAATTAATCATATTTTACATTTACAAATAATTTGAAAATAAAATGTATGGATATTATATTAATATATATATATATATATATATATATATATATATAATTTTTAAACGTGCACAGTTGTTCAAACTAACCGGTCAGAAGTTCCATGTTTAATAATCCATGTTTTAGAATCTGTAATATACAAATATCCAAGAAAAAGAAAAAACTGTAATTTGTAGTTGCATTTTTTCAAATGCTATATCCTATTACTAATGTTAATCTTTTCAGTTATGCATTTAAGTAATAGAAAAAACTAGACGTAAAAGTGAATTCAGTCATACAAAACAGAGAAGCATTTAGTTATGAATCAGTGGTTATGCTCAAGTATAGTTCCAGATGTTGTCAAAACAGTCACAACTAGTAAGACAGACTTAATTATGATATAATTTCATACAATTCTTCCCAAAGCAAGAACAACAAATGTAGGAAATGATGTGAACTCATTCTTATTATTTTGTTGATTTTTTTTTCAACTGCTTACAACTTGACCAATTCCAAAAGACAAATCATAAAACAGTTTTGAACATTTAACGATTTGAACCAAATCTATGCATACAGGAGACAGACGTCAGCCTAACACCACCTTGATTATATTTACAAAAAGAGGTTATGCAATGTTATAACGTCGTCCTCTTCTGTTTTACTGTTTTTGCATTTTTGAACATTAGTCACCTTAATCTTGTTGTAAAATGTTTTTCGTAGTTACACAACCTATTATACCAACATACTGCTTCTACCTAAACTTTGTTTCTATCCACATTTTCAACTTCTCCCCCTTTCGTCTTATTTTCCTTTAAATAGTCAATTTATTAAAATCTGGTAATTTAACTACTAACATCATTTCTATCAATAACTCGTTGTGCACGAGATGAAAATATGCTCAAATCTGTTTTGAAATTCATATATTTAGATAGTGTTTATGCTGTAAGCAGCTGAAAATAATCAGCAGAATAATCGCAATGAGCTCATATCATTCTCCTACATTTTTTGTTGCTTTTTTCAAATCTATTTTATGAAAGTCGAACACAGATGCAGATCGTATATAGGGTGGAGGGGGGTTAACAAATAAAAATGTAGAAATCTAATCATATTTTCCTTTGTGGGTAAAATTTATTTTGACAAAGTCTTACAGTGTTATACAGTAATATTTACTGATGATGTTTCGAGCACAATCTAATGCTCAGTAAATATAACCGTAGAACACTGTGAGACTTTATCAAAATAAATTTGACTCACAATGGAATTATACTCTGCCACAGTGCACAAGTTTTATTCTTATACTAATCATATTTTAGAGATTTACTTCTCAAGATTGTAGGAGTATTTATAAAACAGTCAGTCCCCTCACTTCTCATTTCTTCTAGAAGTTTCAGTATTTTTCTATGACAGATTTATCTAGGTACAGCTTCAGTGTCGGTCTAGACATTATTTCAATAACGCTAAATGAGAAATTGAATTCTACACATTTTTCATATGAATCCATGGGTAACTTTCCCCATTTCTGAAGGGAATCTTAACAGTATATAACCTTATCAAATAACGTACACGGAACAATAGTGAAACTCCTGTATTGGGCAGCTGAGATACTAAGAATAATGGAGCCTGTGTTGTTGCCCAAGGCTAACCAAAGAAAACACTACTGAGCATTAGAATCTGTTCAAATAGAGAGAGACCAATTTTTCAAGCTTTACAGAAATTCATCAAGGGAACCAAGTGTATGATTATCTGTTTGACTTTGATCCAAAGGTTAGACAACTAGAGACGCATTAAAATAGAAGTAATGAAAATGAAACATATTCTAAAATAAATGTCAAATTTCATTCCAACAGAGTTGTTCCTAATGTTCAAATAGGAAAGATTCAGTGTAATCTACAAACACATCTACTATATTTCAAGTTTGACCAGGGATTGGTATTAGTTAAAGAACCGTTGAAAATATGGAGTACTAGACCAGTACACACCGACCAGGGTTCCAACCCAAGACTTTTCAATTATAAGGCAAACTCACAGACCATTCAGCCACTGGGAACCGATTCAATGACCCATGAATTCTAACTTCTACTAATTCATGATTTTAGCGCGACAATCAGCCAAGGTTATCGGCGAGTATTTGTTCTCACTCTTGATGGAGTGGACCCAACTGATTGCGATTTATCACTAGGACTCCACGCAACTTAGTCCTGTAGCCAGTTACTAGCGAACATCAGGTAAATTTTCAAGAGTTGATTTGTAGGGATTTGATTTTTTTCTAGTCTGACCACGGGTCGATATCAGAACGAAACAGGTGTCTAGTACCCTCTGGTTTTCAATGGTTCTCTAAATGATATTAATCCGTGGTCAAACTTTAAACAAATCAAATCCCTACAAGCTAACTCTTGAACACTTACTATAATTCTCTCAGTGATAAAATATGTCGAGTTCATCTCACCTTGAAAGAGCACTAAAGACTACATCTGGGACGTCACCAAAATTCTTCCCAGCAAAATCATATTGGAAATTAGCTAAACCACATCCACAATCCAATTTGCAGACATTTAGTACGGCATTAAGTTACTATATCATTTAGAAGTTATGGACAGATTGTTGTAAGTTTGCCCTAGTTTTTCCAGCGAAAGAGTCATTAATAGTACAGTTCATGGAAAACTTAAGGCATTGTATATTGTGGTTCACACAGTCCATATTTATAGCCGTAGAAATAAAAGTAGTAAAAACGGTTGCAACCGTTAGCTTGTTACTTGGGTGAAGAGATAAACTAGTGACTATTATTGCTATATAACACTACTATGCTATTAATCAAATAATGACCATAAAAAACTAGGAAACCCTATGAATGGCGAGCGACAAATTCAGTGTTTTCTAATGTCAAATAGTCGTAAAAACTACTATTAGACAACTCTTTTACCAAGTACATTTGATCGAGGGAGGATAATATTGTATCAGTTCAATATAATAAATTACCACAAATGTATAGGAATACTACAGAGAGTAATAATAAAAATAACTGACCTCTAAGTTTAGAATACTTCCATTCTTTGTATGGACTAATGAATACAAATGAATCCCGAGCATTATTATTCGAGAGAGAATTAATTACATAATTATCTTTTAAGGCTAATGTCATTACAAACCGACATTTACCGGAGAAATCAAAGAAAACTAAGGAGAGTTGGAAAGCTATTGCGTTATGATTTGTGATTACCACGCAGTATGCAAACACATCCCCAGGAGGAGTGCATCCAAAACAGCGATGTTGCTAGGCTACTTCGTTATTATCTGACTACATTTGAAAATTTCTGATATTATAAGATCGCCGTTTGATTTCCCTGGTAATAATTTCCGGATATATTGCTCCTAACCGTATGCACGGGTTATCTCATCTTCAAAAACTACTGTTTTTGAGGTGTTATGGGGATCAATAAATATTAATCCTTAGCGTATTAACCCTCTGGTCCTCTGATCTATTATGTAGTCTAAACAAATGTAATAAGTGAGATAAATGTCATCATCAAACTCTGGAGCGACGAAAAATTAAACTCCCATCGAATATATGCAAGGGCAATAGAAGAAAAAGATTTTAAGCATCTTAGTCTTAAAACAGTACCGTTATCCCTTTTATTTAGCATGATAGACACCCATACAAAAGTAATTTAACTAATAAAGATAACGAAAGCTTACTGTTATTAGTGCCTTGTCCCGTCAAAATAATATCAAGACAAAAATGAAACACTAAATGGCAAATAATGCTATTCTATGTATTTGCGATGGGTTATAATACGCCAAAAGACTGGTCTGAGTATGGCGTTATCAACATGACATAAAGTAAAATACTATATAACATGTGTTACAGTCTACATTGGAATAAAACCACAAAACACACTAAACCAAAAGTACTATAAGTATAAAACACATTTTCAAATATTACTGTATGACATCAGCAAAAGATAATACTGACCAGGGCGAACTTTGATATAAGCGACATCGTGTACTGTGCTGAGATTATTTTGAACTTTGCACTCCACAACTGAATCTTCAGTGATGTTATGTTCCATTTCAGTAACAACCTTTGAGTCATACAAAACAGTAATAATGAGAATATATAAAGAACTTCCTTGAACAAAATTGTCAGATAACGTCTGAACGTCAACTTACGAAATATTAACTGACTAAGAAAACAAGCTACAGTTAAGTTTCCTAAATGTTTTGTTTTAAACACTTTTTCAGGTGTTTATCAATGAAAAGCTGGCATCACGAGGATAGCGTCTTTAGGTCAGTGAGGGCTGGAATATTCAGTAATATTCAAAAGTCTTTTAGGTATCAGATAGGTAAATTGGTGACTCAATAAACCTATCCAGTGTTATTTTTCAGTCATTACGGTGACATTACCATTTTACCAATATAAGTATTAAACAGTACTGTCAGGATAACCTCTTTGAAAACAAAATAACACCACAACGAATTATGAACTTATAACAACGATTACGCGTTACATTTTAGTCTGTTTTTTTCTACACCTGTAAATATTGCAATTTAGCAGCCCAGTATATATTCATGCATTAGGTTGCCGGTTATGCATAAGGTGTAAGGGTTTACTTTATCAGTTTTGAGTTAGGAGGAGTGAGTCACGAACGAGGAACTCACTAGTTGAAAGATGTACCACAAACTATGAGCTTTAGCAGACCAGCGAATGAGATTAAATCCCACAACTATGTACAATTATATTTTAATGGATTTTTAAAAATCATGCTACACAGTGAAATTCACAAGCATGGTATTTAACTTACTGCACCATTTAGCATCATTATATCTTTCCTCGGATTGGTTCCTCCAAAAACACACGGAAATCTGTATGTAGCACCCCAATCTACAGTTACATTATGCACTGTTTCAGCCAAAAATGCTTTGACTATAATTAAGAAGAGGGAAAATTAAACGTGTGTAGTGTCTGAAGAATACTGAAATTCATTATCTTCAAGAGAATTAGTTAAAAAGCCAAACCAACAATGAATACACTTCTATCAACCCTATTTTTAAAATCAGTTACTTTGAAAAATACATACCTTGCACTGCCGATGAATATTAACATCGTAGGGACTCGTACACTGACATGATTTTTTTTATTACAGCTTGATTCCGCACCGTATTTTTCGGTACAGGTATGGAATTTTCAGCATGTGATATCGGTAGCCCAAATTTTGCAGGCCGACCATAGATATCAGGTGTGCGTCGGTGACATCTGCCGCTTCCCACATCATTGCAACTAAAGAGATGCAAACTATATCAGCAGTCCCAGTAAAAGATGCAATGGACACTTTTGAGACAACGAGTGCATACATTCCACTCCAATACATCAAATTTTCGACTGTAGTGGATTAAATTTCTAACCACTGGTCTTCATTTTCTCAAGAACCTACTCACGTAGCTTATGATTTCTTACATGGCAACCATAAACCTTACACGTAGATGCCATGCTTCAACCACCCCAATATAACTAAATGACTAGACTTATCTTTACGTATTATGCAATGGGCAACATTTAAATAACACAAATAAGGCATAAGAGGATTTAACCCCAACATGAAATTCAATATTTAAGCCAATCAGCCACATCACAACTACAATAAAATAGTAAATGAAAACCACAAATGTCAATGCCCTTGGCAACCAGCAGCAATTCCAGTGTGATGTTTGGTTATATCTTCCGGCTGATAAGCCTCAGTAGATGGAGCTATTGATAAAGTACCCTAATAAACCTTTTCTTTTAAACCTACTCATAATATCATGAAACAGTGAAGTTAAAATCGGAGTTCAATGTGATCAATATAACTTTTTTCTTCTTTACAATACTACGGTATGTATGGCTGATCACAGATGAACTCAGTGAGTGAGTAATCTTAAGTATAATTCAATTTTTTGTTGGTGACTACACAATCAGATGTAAGTGCATAGGATTCAGTCCACTTGGTTCGATACAGCAAAATAGACTAAATCTTTCCTTACCTAGTATAAATATCTCTTTTCAAACCCGATTCAGACACACTGCTTAACGTAAACAAGGAATGAATTCAAGCCACTGATTGAAGGATAATGAGATGATCATCACCGACAATTTTATAACTTAGAAATGTACACACCTTTTACTTACGTTTGACAAGAAATTCTAATTTAAAAAATTACTACATACCGATTGGTACGAAACCATATGAATATTCAAGTAAGGAGTCTTGAGTACCATTTGGAAAAGAATTGTACGACCGACAGGTTACAATTCTATCCGCATTCTCCATTCGAAGACGAAAGTCAAGACTCCCATTCAAATGAAGAGTGAGGTTGTCCCCAGTCATTTCCAATGGCCTTCCGTTTTCTAACCATTCATAAATACGATGAATATTGTTCACATTCCCACACGAAAGAACAACACGATCACCCACGGGTGCTGATATTAGGTGAATTTCCGGTGCTGACTCGTTGGTATTTGGAAGAGTGAATACACATTCAATGACTGCAACATATAAAGACACATTCATATAGTTCATAAAAGTGTGTATATCATAATTAGACGTATAATCATAGAAAAGGCAGCTATATCTCTGCTAAAATTTCAAAAACTTAACACAATCTAGAATGTACAGTAGTGGAAAATGAAGAAAATCCAGAGACGCTTCGAAAATCATATACCTTTTTCACTAGTTATTCTAGAACAAATAAAAAAACTTATTGTGGAAGAAGAGAATGGTGCAAATCTTAAATTAAGCCATTGTACAATTCAAGGTGCTATCAGAACAAACCACAATAGTATGTCATATTATCACTCATTATTTCGGTAATCCCACGGATGTAATGAACAGATTAGTGAATAAATTACCTGTAAAGCCATCTTCAATAATCCATCCCAAAAGTGCGATCTCTATTATTTATAAACGAGATTTACTGATTTCTGAAGGTAAATTTGCATTTCATTATTTGATAAGCAATGTTTAAGGCAAACAAAACACCCAGAGGACATGAACAGTTACATAGGTGAAGAAAGAACAATAAAAGATGGGGAATTCCATGATGCAAAGAGATGCTTTCTCCACCAGCGAAATATGACTGCCCATCAATGGGCAGATGGTTTTTAGGGGTTCGCTTTGTTATAATTTACGCCTCACATAGCCACTGAAGCTGGAAAGTAAAAAAGACTAGCGTTTCCTGTCCATAAATTACCCCGACTAACCTCTTGTGTTAAGTGAAGTATTATGACCAGTATTGCTGACGCTAGTGTTAGGAATGGAGAAATCAATCAACGATGTTATGAAATCCAATTAAGTTAGCTATCTGGGACAAGTGATGAGCCACACGGACTACTTGATTGAACTGAAACCTGTTTTTGATATGGCTGAAAATCATTCTCAATGAAGCAAATTTGTCCACTCCTTGTTATCATCAAGATTCCGAAAGTCTTAACTAATCTTCACGTGATTATTTTGCCTTCAACTGTGGTCTCATTACCTTACTATTTTCTACATTCCATTTACTTACCTTTCCTAAAAATCCAGATGCTTCTGGTTTTAAGGACTTAAATTTCACTAGAGCATGTTTTCGTAGTATCTTGCATTTTTGCACATTTTACATAGCAGGAAATTCACAGGAGTACTTATCGTTTCATTTTAGAAAGCTAACAATAGGAATTTGACACATACAGAACAGCAAACTTATTCGCAGGACAAATCTGAATTAATGGTTGACAATGGAATCATCCATCTATACCAAAAACAGGCCAACAAGAGAATCTAAACATTACAACCCACAATCACAAAATTATATTACAAATAAATGGGCAGAGGAGGCAGTAGACGACAGTGACGTTGTAACTGAATATGCATCTTGTCACATTTTGACCATCGTACGCTTACCAAGAGACTCAAGAAAATAAACAAAGCTATGTCACTGTGTTAAAATGTACACTATAGTACGAAAATAGTATATTTTAAGATGCTTCACGAAATCTAAAAGACTAAGACTACCTACATCTACGGCATTATGAAGGATTGAAAGTCATAAGCACAACTCACGTACCTTGTTAGTTGGATGATTCTGATGGCTGATTTACCTAGAGACAGATGAAAAGCGATCTGTTTAAATAAACCAGAACGTTGCTGGTGAACGTTCGGAGAGCTGAGTTAGGACTAACGTTGTACTAGACACTCAACACTACTAAAATGGCTCATTAAAGCAACGACTTTTGATTTTTGCTCAAGTCAGAGTTTAGGAGTTTGTACTGAAGTCACATAAAATACACCAATCGCTAGAATTAATCACATTAGATGAATACTAAAACATGCAATGTTACAAACGTGTTACTCACTGGCAACAGTTAGCACCACCGTATATGAAAACATCTGGTGTCTGTAAGCGAAGAGGTGTTTCCCAGAGGTTAGCGATAAAAGTTTTCTAGCTACGATATATTCAGTAAACAAACCAGTATATATACTGGTATTCAGGTGTGTATATATATACATGTATATATATGTATATATATATGCATGTATACAGGTATACCTGTATACATGCATGTCTACTAGTTAATATGAATAATTCCGAAGAAAGAATAAGTCGCAAATGACACATTATTCTCTGTACTGCAATTCAGTACTTACCACTAAGTAGGAACAGTGAATACCACATCATGACAGACAGACACTATGTTGATTAGCTTCATATTCCGGACTTTTAAACCACCCGCGTTCAATCAACATTATGTTTTTCTGCTACAAGCTGAACATCCAACGACTTTTTCCTTTGATTCACTTCATTTTCAGAATTTCATGAAGAAAGCCAATGATTATATACTATCCCACTATCATTTCTGTTGGTTTAACTTTATATTTTCTCAACGTACATCACTCATACTACTTATATGCTTGATATACCTAATGAAGAAGGGAATTTATAACACAGATTGAGATAACTAAGATTTTCGGTGAGGAGAAGAAGGCTTCAGGACTATTTTAATCATTTTCTGATAAGTACCTGCACTTGCTTAATTCCTTCTTGAAATAGTTTGTTTAGGACGCAAACACCACTTCTAGAAATTGATTCCAAGAACCAAATGTAAAGTTCTTCCTAGAATATGTGACTATTCTGACATACCTCGTGAGATGTTGCAGCCTGATGGAAAGTTAAAAGGGAATTGAATCGAGATCATAATCATCTATTCTACTTTGTGACTTAGTGATTAGATCCCGTCTATGCCTACGTATAGTAAAGGGAGGAGACTTAAACTACTGAGTTTTTCGTCATGTGATAAACTCCTGACATCAAGTGCCATGCGTGTGGACCTCTCATAGACTTTCCAGAGCATATGAATCCCCCCACATGTTAGGGCAACACCTGGATACATAGCTCCAGATTCCTGGCCACAGCAATCATCACTCAATATTGGATGCTGACCACCACTGTTTAATTCGACTTGTTTAGCTGAAGGCTTCCGGTCAAGCATCCCCGTCATTTGGTACTCTGTCGTGTCACGTGCGTGCACGATTACTAGCTAGCTAAGCATTCACTTCTACCCGCGATTTTGTCCCGAAATATACTACGTACTTTGGACGACAAAATTTGGTCTTTTGCTTTATCTTTGGTACTCGAAGAACGAACACTATAGAAGTTGTTGGTATAAGATCTTGCGTTAGTATAATCCGTACAACTCGCGAACGTCGATACCTGCAACCTCTAAAGTCTCATCAGAGATGCGTATAAACTGGTAATTCTAGGGAATGCCCTTAAGGATATAGAGCTGAGATCTATCACCGCGAAACAGTATGCCATAATTTTCAGGTCAAATCTTATGGGACCGCAGTTTCCTTTGCATCGTATGAGCTGACACTTGCACAGTGAACATAGATGGACGCTTCACTGCTCTGGTTGGAAGAATCCATTTCTTTGACCGGTCCAACAGTTCGTTGATGTCTCAACACGGCTTCAGATATATATATAATTAGGTCACAGCTCCCGCCAGAAATGATCTTTGTGAAATATTTTTATTTTCAGTAGTAGCAGCAGTGAACAATCGCACAAAATTATCAACCTAGAGCTTCCATTATTCGAAACTGGATGCTGGACTGGTTAATTCGAAAGTACGTTCCCATGTCTCTTAACTATTTGACTCATAACTATGTTGGTTTCCGACCCTCTCACAAGGTCTCCAGCTATCCAAAAGCGCATCCACGCTGATATACTGCGTGACTTAACTAGTGTTCTGATTTGACTTGCTAACTATTCTGTCTACGCTGAATTCATACATTGGGGGAGTACATATTAAGCGCATTACCACATACAGACTCATACCTATTTTCTAACGTCGGAAGGAGGCGATACCACTTTTGCCTAGAGTGAAGGTCAGATGCTTCAACTAACTACACAGTTCGATTCCTGTTGAATTTTACTTTCGACCCCATACCATTGTGTTCAAAATCGTATACTGCTTTGAGAAACCCGGCAAGATAGTACACGATTCCTGATAAGAATGATGCCAGAAGTGAAGGTAAAATCCAACAGAAGTCAAAATGTTTAGTATTTGGAGCGAAAAGAGACAGCTTACCTGCAATCCAGATAAGTGCCATATAGACTACTTCGGACTTTTGAAACCAAGCATATATATGACAACCTCCTCTCCAACTCGGAGCTGTCACATATCTTAAGATAACATATTCGCATGCAACCTCTTACCATGCATATAAGGTAGTATCTGCATCGAGCGACTGACTGCCTTCTCCCCAAGCAGATTTATTACCACAGACACAGGATATGCTGTATGGAGGACATGTGTACACCCCAAAATCGAATACCATGTCGTTTTATGTAGAATCTTAGGGTGTCCAAAGACTCCTTGAAAAAATTTGGGTTTGACTAGCAGATAGAATATGTCGACAGAATTACCCGGCTAAAACTAAAATTCTTATAGTTCAGGTGAGTGAAGTATAATTTATACTTATTTCAACTCTTCAGAGTTATCGGAAACTGTCCTTACAGCAACTTATCCATAATGTTGGCTACAATTACATTATATTATTTGCGCAACCACATCTCCCTTTTCAAGACTGTCAACTGCAAGCAAACCATTAGAGGTAAATTTTCACCAATAAACATTGCCCTTTTTTAACCGATTACCTTCTGAAATTATATATTGTGAGAAGTCTGACAGACATAAATTAAGCCTAGGATAACACATAAAGTTGTCCATCCTAATCAATCTTAATGTTCGCAGATGCCAGTAGAACAGCAAAACAAATGCCGTCCAGTCTTTGACTAAGTAATTTAAATATTCCCATAGTAAAATTTAGAACAACACATTTAAGCGAACAGTACTGAGTCACCCTTTTTCTTGTTTAGAAGACTCTACTCTCTCATCTAAACATGACTCAGCCTACCTTGTTCTTTTCTCTTCCTTTTTTTCTATTGGCTTTTAGATAAAACAATTTCTTTAGTTACGTAATCTACCTTTGGTTATGCTCTTTCTGGCTAAACCTTGTTTCTATACACACATATATATATGCAACTCTGTTTCTGTTTCCAAGCCTAATTGTCTAATTATTCTATAAATAGTCAGTGTTTGTAACTCTGAATTAGTTAAATCATTCCGGACTAATGTTACTTTTACTTCCTAACAATTACTCCTTGTGATCGTGGAATAGTATGTTCAAATCCTAAATGTAATTCATATTTTTATCGTTCAGGTTGTAACCAGTTGAGAAGAATCCTCGAAATAATAAAAGATGAGCTCATATTATCCTGGTACAGTTGTTGTTCTTGCTTTGAACAATATTGTTTTCAATTAGATCTCATAAGGCTTAACTCAAATATATATAAGTTTACAAATAAAAATTCAAATATAAACCAATCATAGTGTTCTGTTTATGGGATAATACGAAGGTGAATATAAATTGTGCAATTAGTCATAATAGTAGTAATGATGATAATAATAATAATAGTAATGATAAAAATGGTCTTATCAATAATAAGGATGAAAAAATGAGGCAATCACGATTTCTTGATGGAGATGCGCTATCCGAGAAGTTTCATAAAGAAAAATATGAAAATATCGGAGAAGAAACCGGAGACTTTGACTGCACATGAGAAACCTCTATTTATTAAGTTACAATTTAATGGTGACTTATCAAGTGAGATTCTATTCCAAAGAATTTCAAGGAGTATACGAAGAACATTTTATGCAGCACACCTATGTTTGTCATTCTCTAGCTGACGAATGATTGGGACACAAACGAAGGATAAGCTTGATAGTTTTGCCACATCTATGTGCATTTATCAATTCAACTGCACCTGCGGTAACAGTAATATTGGGCGTACTACTAGACAGCTTAGCCAACGTGATAGTGAACATCTCCCATCGAGAAAACGAGAGCCTTCAAAGTAATTCATCGTATCCCAGCGAATCTTTCCAATAGACTTCGTATTCGTTTACTGCACACAGCTGAGGCGATAGGCATTCGAACTATTAAACCTAAACTATGTATTCAGAATAATTTCGTACAGCCATTATCCCTCCCTTGGCCTACCAACTAATGACTTCTACACCACCCTTTGTTTATATTTTCAACCCCTTTCTTATCATCCCTTAATCTTATCTTCGTTATAAACGTGTTTCATTTCCTTCCCTTACAATCTAACATTACTTAATCGGTTCATCTGTTTTTACTAGCCTTTATCGACTACTTCCACCTGAACAGTTGTTTGTTTAATCATGCTGTTTTTCATTATTCGTGTTATCACAGATTGCCTCATTTTTTCATCCTTATTATTGATAAGACCATTTTTATCATTACTATTATTATTATTATCATCATTACTACTATTATGACTAATTGCACAATTTATATTCACCTTCGTATTATCCCATAAACAGAACACTATGATTGGTTTATATTTGAATTTTTATTTGTAAACTTATATATATTTGAGTTAAGCCTTATGAGATCTAATTGAAAACAATATTGTTCGCTTGAATGTATTGTTCTAAGTAATTTAAGTCAATGTCAGGCATAATTCTTATGCAACAAATGTACTATCAGTCTACTAGGTTTCCATTCTCTCATAATATTTAATAAGTGTGTTTAGTGTAATTATTTCTGGAATTGTTTTATAAACCATGTCTTTTAATAATATATGTGACGAAACACACTCTATTTTTCCGCGTAGAAATGAACACCTTAGTCAACAGCTAGCCATTTTCTTATACTTATCCAAAAAGTACAAATTAAAAGTCTGTTTTGTGATATTTTTTCCTAATGTAGGAGGACGGGTTATTTTGCAATGTCTATTGCATACCATACAAAAGTTGGTCACAAAAATTAGACATATTTAGTCCTGCTAACCTGCCATTTCCCTAAGACAACTTCACCTACCATTATCAATAATTGTTCCATTATTCATTCTACTCTGCCCAATAGACTATAACTTAATATGCTGTACTACTGACGGCTTGTTTTCCAGCCTATTTTAAAGACGTGTTTATCTAAATGAATTACTGCTAAGAATCTCACCATCTATCTGTGTCAGGAGACTTACTGGTAAATGTTTACCACGAAGGTTACTAAGCGGTAATATGCTGTATGACTGCGACAGGTACAAGGAACTGCGATTCTACAACCACCATCTCAGAGTTCAACATCGCA